TACTGCATCATGCCTCTGACGGCGGCCATGGCCGTGTGCCGGATCGTCCTGATCGGCGGCTCGGGGACGGTCAGCTTCGCCGTGCGGCTGGTGGTGGTGACGGCGTCCTTCGGCTGGTCCACCTTCGCCTCCACGGCCTTCCTCGCCGACAGCCAGCCGCCCAACCGCAAGGCGCTGGTGGTGTACCCGGTGTTCCTCTTCTACTTCGTGATCGGGTGGATGATCCTGACGTTCTCGCCGTCGCAGTAGCGGGGAGGGGAAACGCGAAGGGGAGCGGAGCTGAACTGACAAAGATGAAGGAGGTTTTTGTGGAGTGAAAGAACTCAAACAAACAACCGGTATCTGCCTTTTGAACGAATGACTACTGAACTGACGGCGAGTGTTTCTGGGCCTCTGATACAGAATCAAAGACTCATGAAACATCAAAACACTTTATTCCAAATGGACTCTTTCAGGTGAAGCGGCGGCTCGCGCTCAGATGAGGCCGGTTGACGGTTGTTGTTCCCACTTTGTCTCCCGTGTGTTTACGATCTGTGTAAATAAAGTCCATAGGCCTGTATATAGAAATACTCTATGAATGTTTGAACTAGCAGGGCTATGATTGTTTTCTCCTCCTCCTGGTCTCTCTGGGTGTGTTTGAAACCTCGTCCTCGCACTACATTCTCCATTAACAGATTTTATTTTATGCAGGGTGACTGAGAGGATTTAGATTTTGCCTTTTAAGTCGACCCTTCTCAGCGTTTTTCTTTTAGTATTTTGGGGTAATTTTTTGTTTTTATTAGACATGACAGGAAATCAACAGAGAACGTCTCGATTCACGGCCAATGTAAAGCAATCTGACATTTTGGTGAAGATCACTTTCTTTCTGAGGGTCACATGAGAAGAACTGATTGCGGGTCTGTTTGTAGGCTATCTTGGCTCTCCAGCGGCTCTAAAACAGCGTCATATTTGAGGTGTTTAATCTGTGAAACTGATAATTCTTACATTTTCTTCTGAAAGGTGCGAGGAAACAGACTTCCTGTTCAGGCTGATTGTTCATCTTTTACTAACCCCCCCTGACGACCTTTGACCCCCTGCTCTATAACCCTGTCCTCGATGTTCTCCCAAATCACCAGGGGCCACTTTTTGTTGATTTCTTTTAATTTATATGTACCCATTTTCATCAGCAAATGAAAAAGATTAAAATATATTTGATCGGCTGTGATTGTTTGTATTGAGATCAACTCTGTTTTTAATGTTTTATGATTCGCTGCTTTACTTTTATTTCAGTCCACAGTTAACACGTTAACTACACAACTTCACTCGACAGTTATTTATCTGTCACCATCTAAAATGTGGTTTTACTGCAGCGTTAAAGAGACTCACAACACTTTAAGATAATGAGGTCATTTCAAAAAAGCACCCGACCTTCTCCAACACAAGGTTGGACAACAAAATGAACGTTTTCAGTTCCTTCATACTAGAAAAGGTTAAAGAGTGTAAAATCAAGGAATGCAGAACAGAGTGTAAAACATAAAACTGTTCTTTTTTAATCATAAATCTAAAATTATATTGGCTGATTGTGTCGTGTGATATAAATCAAACGTTTCCCATTGGTGCTGATGGACTCGACCAATTTGACATCTGCTCCGCGGTCCACGTATGAAATAACAGAAAATAAACATACAGGTATAGACTCGGGAAATAAATCTGCATTAAAAACAGCTGATGCAGTTTTTCCCCTTCACACTCACCTGCAGCCACACCTGCAGCCACACCCCCTCATCAGCCCAACTGCTTCCACCTGGTCACCACAGTACATATATTATATATAGAGCCTCACTCACCCTCTGCTCACGGCCAGATTGTTCCACTGCTGTGTGTGACTCTCCAGCCTGCGACTTAGGACTGATCCCCGGACCTTTGGCCACTGATCGGACTCCTGTTCGGAGACGTCTGCGGTTTTGCCTGCAACCCCCCTTCAGAGAGGAGTCCGTCATCCCACTACCCCCTGAGTGAGTGTCCGCCTTCCCTGGTCCCTTCCCCCTCTCCATAACTCCCCAAGAAGACTCACAGGCAACCCTTTGCTTTCCCCCCTTCCCTACCTTTAGTCCTCACTCCCTGCCTTTCCCCCCGAAGAAGGACGACCCCCCTTTGTTCACTGTTTAGATTCACCTGTGCTACCAATAAACTCACTGACTTGTTGTTGTGCTGCTACTGGGTTCAAACCTACGTGAACTGAGTGGCTGCAGCCCTTTGGAGCTGCTCTAGAGACGTTGTTGTGTGGCTGTAGAACTTCAGTGATATAACAAGAGGCAAAAGGAAGTTAAAGGTTAATTTTAAAAGTTTTTGTTGTGGAATTTGCCTGAAAGTGTTTTTATATTATAATAATATAATCACATATTTGAGTTAAAAGAGATGTTACAAAGTGCTTCACAAAACTATAAAAGTAGTAAATGCAGTAATTATATAACAACAGTTTGGAGTACGATCAAAGCAAACAACAATATTTGTTACTAAAAAGAAAATATTATCAGGAACAAACATTTTTATGAACACAAACTTTATTTCTTCAGTGTGATAATTGTCAGACTCATATTTTAAAATAAACAGAAGTAAAAAGATCAAATAAATTCAGGATGGGTGAAAAATGGAAATATAGCAAAACATTTTATTTATTTCGGCATTAAACTTATTAAATTTAAAATATATTTATTATGAACAATCAATAATCAATAATACAGTTCTGTTTTTAGATGTTTACAAAACAAACAAACAAACATGGAGCACACATTTAAAATCACTCTCTATTAAACTCATTAATCACTAACATAAAATATAATTTATTTTGTTTATTTGTTGTTTTTTTAATTAATTATAAATCTTTAACGGGTTTTTTTTAATAACAATTGACGTCATCACAGCGCGACGGCTGTAAAACGGATGCGGGCTAGCTCCGCGGTGGTTGCGGTTCTCGGTGCGGGAGAAAACAACACGCGGTGAATGAAGCGAGTGTTTCCCCGCTCCGATGACACACGATGGGACTCCAGCTCGGACTTTTACCCGCCTTCCCGCTCTCCTGCGACGGTGTGGGCGTTAGCTTGTAGCCGTTAGCCGCCGATGGAGCAGCTGCAGCTGCTTCCTCCGGAAGTCTGGGTCTCCGTGTTCGGCTACCTGAGCACGGAGGAGCGGCACACCGTCCGCACCTGCTGCCGGTACCTGAAGAAGCTCATCGACCACCCGTCCCTGTGGCGGGCCGACACCGTGGTGCTGTCCGACCTGCGCCGCTACACCTACGGCTTCTGGGACACGCTGCGGCACCGCAAGCTCACGCGTGTTGCGGTGCGGCACCTGCGGCGCAAAGAGTGGCGGCGCCTCGTGAAGTTCCTGCCGTCGCTCACCGCCGTCGTGTTCGTGGACGGGGGGCGGCTGTACAAGCAGAAGTACCTGGACAACCTGTCGCGGTTCCCCGAGTTGCGGGACCTCGGGGTCCGCAACGCCACGTGGGACGAGCCGATGCTGGGGCGGGGTCTGAGCGAGCAGCTGCGCGAGCGGCTCACTCACCTGAGCGTGTGCAACGTCCGGCTCACCTGCACGGTGGAGTTCATCCACACGGTGGCGCACCTGGTCAACCTGCGGTACCTGCTGTTCCACCAGCAGGGGGAGGGCTACGGGCTGGACACGGTGCGGCCGGTGCCCCGCGGGGTCTTCCACGAGCTGCTGCTCCACCTGAAGAAACTGAAGCACCTGTCCTGGGGGATGAGGGGGGAGCCGCCGGAGCCGCTGCCCGACGACTACCTGAGCCCCCCGGAGCACCCAGGTGAGCCAGAACGATGTGGTTATTGTGTTTGTTCAGTTTTTGTTTCAGTTTTAAACAAAAAAAAAAACAGGTTTTTATTTTGTTTACATTTTTATTTTCCAAACAAAACAACTGGAAAACAGGTTTTTGTTTTTAAAAACAGAAAACTGATCTTTTTTTCAAATTCCTGTTGGTTTATTTTTTATTTATTTTTTGTAACAGAATTTTATGTTTTTATTTGTAAAACTAAAACTGTTTTTTTATTGTTTTCCATTTTTCTTTTCAACCAGAAAAAAACCTGTAAAATTGCCGTTTTTCGTTGGTTATTATTATTATTATTATTATTATTATTATTCACAATTAGTTCGAAATCAGTTTTGCAACACAATTAAAATTTTCTTTGCTTAAAAACTATTAAATTGTGATGATCTGATCGATAACTGATCGATAACACATCAGTTAATGCTTTATTAATCATTTATAGAGGGTTCTTTATTAAAAGTCTGTAAATAAAAAATAACTCTCTCCTCCTCCTCCTCCTCCTCCTCCTGCTCCGTCCTGTAGGAGCGACCCGGTACGGCGGCCCGGCGCTCACCACTCTGGAGCTGGTGGATTACCCAGAAACCATCCTGCCAGAGGACGCACTGAGGAGTATGACCTCGCTCAGGTCTCTGACGGTCCGCTACAGGTACATCAAAGAGGGCATCGAGTGTCGCCTCAAATCCTGGCTGAGTCCTCTCCAACAGCTGGAGACGCTCACCATCATCGGTGAGTCCGGCTGCTGACAGCGGTTCCGTTTGTCCCTCCTGAGCCGGGCTGGGGTCCAGTCGGGGGTCTCATATACAGAATGAGAGATAATTAATGTCAGGCAGTTGGGGGGCAGCTGTCTGCTCGTTAGGACCCATGCAGCCAGAACAGAAGACGACTGGACTTTAACCTAAACCTTAAACCTTCTTTAATAAATCCAGTTATCAAGCATTTCTTCTTCGGATTAAAATTCATTTTAGGGGTCAGAGACCTTCATTAACCACCTCAGATACTTTATGGTTTACTGGTGGATGTAGAAACCAGATTTTTGTTGCACTGAAGTGTGAGAGCAAAGACTTCCAGGCAGTTTAAGGTACGTAGTTGATCATACATACGTAGATATCTCTTCTGTTTCCCAGGTGGTAATTCTCTCGCCACCTACACGACCACCATCCCGTCCAGTGTGACCAGGCTGACGCTGCGTGTGGCCATCACTCTGAAAGACATGGACTCCATCGCCCCTAAAGTCCCGGCGCTCGAGCACCTCGACATCGAGCAGAACCGCTCCAGCGGGAGCCTCTGCAGACGGATCCCGATGCTGTTTCCTCAGCTCCGGACGCTCAGGATACGGTGAGCCGCGCACGAAAACCACTCTTACTGTCTGTGTGTCCTTTTTGGGTGACGGTGTGAGCATGAACGGTTTCTGGTTGTGTAGATAAGAACAGTGTGGGTTAACACAACGGACAAGATTTAAAAAAACACCACTCAGATTAATCACGGTTTTGTCGGATTTGATGTGAATGTGGTTCGGTCTTCCGGGTTTACCGCAGGAAATGGTGAGTCTTATCAAAAGCAACACAAAATACAACTTCTGCTGTTTTAAACTATGTCTGAGGAAGTTCCCTGAATGTTTATAAATGATTTAAATGTGTCATCGCTCCTCCCCTCTCTTTGTCTCTCAGGTTTTTCCGCAGAGAACCGGAGAAAGACCTGCTGAGCCTCCACCGGCTGCGACACCTGGTGCAGCTGGAGCTGCTGGTGGAGCGCTCGTTCATCCTGAGAGACTACCTGAACGGCCACCCCTGGCCCAGCCCCTGCGTGCGGGAGCTGATCAACCAGCTCCGGGAGCTGTCCGAGAACAGGATCACTGTCATCACCACGATGCGCCAGAGAAACCAGCTGAGAGAGTGCGACTGTATGTGGGAGGGGGACTGAGGAGGCGGAGGAGAACTGGGAAAATAGAGTTTATTTCCCCTGAAGAGAGAAGACAGAGTCGGGAACAGAGGCAGGAAACCAAAAACCTGAAGTGGCTGCTGTTGATGATAACAGGTGCCACTGAAGTAAAATATGTAAAGATAAAAGAGGCTACTGACGGTATAAAGTTATGAATCTTAGAAAAGTAGTTAATGGATGAAGATCAGAGCCAACGTTTTGACTCGAGACCCCTATAAAGCACTGAAGTCCACTAGCAGACCCGGATTCCAGGGTCCATAAGAGTTGTGAGTAGAAAAATATGTTTTACCACAAAGAAAATACAGAGCGGCACGAACAACGGTTGTTAATGAAAACATACAGTAGAGCCCGACCGATCGCTTCAGGATCATATCGGTATATTTATGTTATCTAATATATGTTCATTTGGAAATTGGTGTCACTGCAGAGTTTAACCAGCAGGGGGCGCTGTTATTTCCAATACTGTGCAAGCCTCACAGAGTAAGAGAAGAAGAAGCAGCTCTCAGCAATGATCAACTAGAATCAGTTGACAATATATATTTTAAATTATTATAATCAGTCGCTCCAGGATTTCACTGGATTATTTATTTTTTTTGTGATAGTTGCAGCTTTTCAAAAAAAGTTGGAATGTTTTTAGGCATTTTTTGGCAGAAGAAAGTAAAAATTACAAAAAAAATTGTTGCTAGTTAATTTATTTGTATAACTAATAAAAAGGCAACTTGTTCCAGTGAGAATAAAATCGATAGTTTGGTGATTAACGTTTTTTGCTATGATTTGGCCAAAGTTGCACAGAATTCACAATAATAAGTTATTTGCAAACCCCCGGGAAGAACGGCAGCCTTTGAATTTGTATTGTCTCAAAGATCCCACATCGGTCAGGCTCTAAAAATAAAAGCATTGAGAGTTTGTTTGATTGATGCTAGCGAAGCATCGACGGAGGAAGATTTTATTAGTTGGTGAATTAAAGTAGAATTTATGTTAAGAAGAGAAACAGTGGAGGTTTTGACGCTGTTAAAAAAAATGGAGGCAGTTTAAAGTTAACCGGGAAAATATCCATGTCTCTAATATAAGCCTGTCTCTAATATAAGCCTGTCTCAGATTCTCCAGAGCAGAGCAGTCGATTGTATTTTTCTATTTGATAAGTCATTTGAATCATTTCTTTCCCCAGCAAAAATGTATTAATGCACCTTGAGCGTTTTTTTTTTTAATTTTATTTTTGACTTTGTTGAATAGAGACGGGATCGAAATAGATGCATTTTGAGTGGTTTTGTTGTATTTAAAGAATGAAATGTTCTGAGTTTTATTTTATTTATTAATAAACTGCCTAATTTGAGTTTTGTTTCAATTGTTTAAACACAGCTTTCTTTTCAGGGTTCCCACATGTCCTGGAAAACATGGGAAACAGAAATTGATTAAAATATCCTGGAAATAAACTGTAAAATAATCTTTGTGGTTGTCTGCCAGAAGCTGTCATACATTGACTGTTGATCCAGTCTGAAGCCACATTGTTACCATCCACTGTTTAGATCTTGGTGCTTTTTAACTTGAACCGGATGAAGGATTTTAGTCATCGGACGTCTGGATCTTAAGTTATCAGAGAAACAAGCTGAGCTAACGTTAGCAGCAGCTCAGCTCGCAGCCCCTCCGGGACGTCCTTTGTCTGTCCAACAGCGTGGGAGAAGCAGTGATTGTTAAGGTGGAACTGCTTTATTCAGTGTGTTTAAGGTGGAACTGCTTTATTCAGTGTGTTTAGTGGTTTTAATCAGCGGGTCTGTTTGTGTTGGAGAGGAGGAGACCTCTGTGGATCATTGGGCTCCCGGTAGAAACCTCCTGAACCATGAACACTGAAGGAATCCTAACCGGGAGAAGCTACCGAACTAACCCTTTAAAAGAAGAGTGAGATATGGAGAGAGAGAGAGGGAGGGAGCGGTGGTCTCCAGAGCCAGTGACCAACGAAGCTAATGAACAAGAGAAATAAAACTTGATTAGCTGATGTTATGTTCTAAAGCAAGACCTCTGCAGGTCTCCTTTAATTTATTCCTCACGTCAGATCAGATCTTCAAGGTTCTTCTTGAAATGCAAACAGGAATGCACAATGTTAGCTCTCCTCTGGTTCCACTGTTCCTTGAACTTTATGGACACAACCGGCCATAGTTTCACATTAACTGAAATGTGGCTCTATCTGTAAAACCACTCAGCTTGAGTTGTAGAAGTGCCACAGATGTTCAACAAGTGTTCTTGAGTACAGCAATTCTGCATTATTCCCTCCATGTGGATTCGGTGGTACGTCCGACCACAATGTTCAGCTCTCAGAACTCCAGCAGGAGAGTCAGCGGCTCCAGAGAGTTCAGGGCGATCTCTTGTTTCTGTCCGTAAACTCCCTGCTCCACCTTCACGCCTGCCTTCGTGCACTTCACCGAGCCGGACATTAAGTCTCTGCAGGCGGACACCAGGTTGGAGAAGAGCTGGGCGCCCCACCACAGCTCACAACCCCCCTTGTACTGAATCCTTCTCCTGGGTACCGGCTGCCCGAGCAGGGAGTCCTGGGGGATCAGTAAAACGCTCCCGGGAAGGTCGAGAACAGAGACCGAGTGCCCGGTGTCCTTTCGGAAGAGTTTAGTGGTCATCAGACTGCTGGCTGTTGAGGAGAACACAGAGATAAAATGATTTATTGATATTTAACCATTAAGATTCGATGAATCTGTGAAGAACTGAATGAGGAAATGTAGTCAGATAACCAACAATCAGATGTGAATGCGTTCAACTGTCTAGCAGAGAGAACATATGCTGCTATCTCTTAAATGATTAAATGACCGACTTTAAGATATTGTTTAATTTAAAACATTTATTTTATACATTTATACAATTGTCTAGGACGATATTTTATTTTAAGAGCATTTTATGTCACTGATATAATGATAAGTACATCAGAACTGAAACAGGAAAATATTACAAAGTCCAGGTTAAATAACTAACTGATTTCAACCAATGATATCAGGACATTCACCTGTCAATCAATCTTCAACTTTTAGCGACACAGTTGGTGACATTTTAACTGTAAGTGGATAACTATAATATAATTATTGTGAAAGGCCACAATGTGTCTGCATGCATGTATCTGGCTGTAAGATGATCAATTTAAATAACATGTTGTCTTAAGAATATGAACCACAGTGAAACCTGCAGATTTTACCGATCTCATAAGTGACGTCCTCAGTGGCTCCGTGGAAGAAGCACACGTACACGACAATCCCGTCCTGGATCTGAGGACGGAGAGATCAGCTCTGAGTATTAAACGTCTTCTCACTCTTCTGTTTGAGCATGTTAGTGAGCCATATTCTTCTAGTTTGCTACGGCACAACCCACCTCCGCCCACAGAGTGTCGGTCCCGTCCACGGCTGGTCTGGTCTTAACCTTCGCCCTGCTGCACTGCTGGATGACCGTCCGGGCCTGTAGTCTCCTGGGCCTCCGGAGGGAAGCCAGGCTGCTTCATGCACACAAACACAAACCCAGATAATACTCCTACAACTGCTTAAGACACATTAACGAACTGTAAAGGAGGTTAAAAGAGAGCAGGACTTTACCTGTCCACCTCAGGAGGGGGTCTGGCTGTCTGTGCTGGGGCAGAGCCAGAAATAGTGAAGACGGGCCAGGGTTTGGTGCTCGGGGCCACCACAGGCTCCAAGCCACCGCTGGCGCTCCTCTTACCCGAAGAGCCCGCCTCCAGGTCTCTCTTCCTCTTCTCTGGGTGCTGGGCGCTGCCACGGCTCCGGGTTTGCGTCGGTGTTTGGGACGGGGTCTTCTGCTTGCTTGCGGTTTGTGGAGGTTTGGGTTGTGCTGGGGGCTCGGGCGGAGTATGCGGCTCAGTGAGAGGTTTGCTCACGACATAGTGATGTGTTCTGGCGCTGCCCCGAGAGCCGCTGGTCTTGTTCTGGTCCTGAGGTTGCGTCTGCTCCCCTGTCTCAGGTTTCACCGGAACCTGGACGCTGCTTCGGTTCTCAGGCTGAACGTCAGAGCTGTTCTGGACTTCAGACTGCGGCGGCGTCGCTCTCTTGACAGACCAGAGTCTGGTGACAAAGGGGGTGTTAGGAGTCCTTGGCTGGAGGATTATGGGAGTTCTGGGCTGGAAGTTGATGGGAGTTCTCAGATGAAGGAGGATGGGAATTCTGGGCTGAGGGCTGGACGGAGTTACAGGCTGGAGGGACAAAGGGTTCTCCTGGGATTGACATTAGAGACAGAAAGTGAGTCTTTTTAATAACAGTGTGTGAAGTGAACAGGCTCTTATTCAGACGTAGCTTAGCATTGTTAGCAATCCTAAAATCATAATTGGGAATTTCATGAAATCAAACTCGGGGAAATTAGCTGTTTTGTGGTTACCACGGGAACCGTGGGTGTTGCCAAATTAACCAGGCCTGAACGGATTGAAAGTTGAGTTTGATTGTACACTAGTATGACGGCAGTATGTCTTCCAGATACAGATTACAGATCGTGTAAGAGGTTGTGTGTCGGACCACTCTGACCTCTCGATTCGTTGCTGGCTGCTTCTCTTCATCACCAACACTCTCACCACCTTCATCGACATCCCCACCATCATCCTCTTCATCATCACTGCGACCATCGCCATCCTTCCCACTGCCAACAGGTAGACAGAGACCGAGAGAGAATACTGTGTGATTAATTCACTCCCAGACGTGTCCCCTAACGTTAGCCTGGGACAGACTCAGACACACACCTGTCTGAATCCTCGTGGATCTGTGGGGATCTCAGCGCCTCCTCTGATCCTCCTGCTTCTGTCTCGGGTCTTTTCCTCCTCCTGCTGCTGCACAGTGAGCAGCTGTTGATCCACTGCACCACATCAGTCTTCATGGTTTTCCAGAAGTACCTGTGAGAGATCGCGATGAGCAACAGCCTCCTGTGTTCATTATTACCTTAATTTAAAGACAAACTCGACAACCTAGAATTTACCTTTTGGTCTTTATTTCTTTAACTCTTAAAGGTTATTCATTCAGCACCAGGATGGTCAAAATGGATTAATAACAAACACACACATCTGTCTTTAAGCCAGTAAACAGTGCTTCAACTGCTACAGTGATTGGTGCTCCAGCAGTGTTACCCTTCAGGATCAGTAAAGTTTCGAGCTCTCACCTTTCGTTGAGCAGTCGGAGGCACTTGGTGACGTCGAGGTGGTTCAGCTCGTTGTGAAAGTCCACCAGGGCGGCTTCAACCTGCTGTCTGCTCCTCAGAACCGAACGTACCCGATCTCCTCGCACCACGTGGAGCTCGTCGTCTGGGAAACCAGAGAACGAACGAACAACTGATACAAACTGCACAATGAACCCAAATAGTGAACACAATAACTGCGTAAAACAAGCAGTTTGGATGAATTTCGAGCAGATTATTTCCTGTAAACATTCAGAGGTCAGTTTTATACTACTCTTTGTCTGTATTGTGTATTTGTTAACATAAATTCTGTCTAAGCAAACAATTTAATTTACCTTTCTTCACAGAATTAGACGAAACCTTGAGATACAGGCCTGCAGTGTATATATTTTGGGGAGAACATTGCTGAACTAGAAGCCTTTTGGAAGGAAAAATGTGAGACTGTATCTCACCAGCTTTATGTAACATATAACATCACAACATGAAAATCAGTACGTGTGTCTCAGCTGTAGAGAAGAAACCTGCTCTGGTGTCAGAGAGCTCCTGTGGGAACCTACTGACCTGTTACAGTCATTCATTGTAGATTCCGGTTTGTACAAACCTTTGATGGAGAACTGCTTGCAGAACCTCCTGAAGGTGTTCTTCTCTACGTAGCTCAGTCCAGGAGGGTAAGTGCGTTTGCTCAGGTAGAGCTCCACGGCATCGTACTTGGCAAAATAGGCCTGCTCACACAGAAACAGCTCATTAAAACACAAACAAACACACACACTTTTCTCTTCTCTTTGAATCTGTGTCTTCTGTTATTGTTGTTCTTGGGTAATCTCTGATATATATTGATAAGCATTGTCCAGGAAAAGGTTGTTATGACATCAGAATCTGATTGAATTAGCCTCCTGAGGGTCATGGATCATGTTATACTTGAACATACAATAGTCACCCCACCTAGAAACATACCTCCTCCCCTATAGGAGACTGGGCCGGACCTCTGGATGGAGTCTGTGGACGCAAAGAGAGAGACATAAACTAAAGCTTTTAAAACACTAAAGACAGAGCAGGAGTAGTGCTAGCTGCTGTTATTATACCCCTGTTCCTTACCGCTGAGTCGCTGTGGACTAAGAGCGTGGGCACGGCGTCTGGACGGAGGGTGACCTTCTCCCCGCCGCGGTCGAAGCAGTCCTCGGTGAAATGGGTCGAACAAACGGACGACCAGAGGCGAGGATGCCAGTTGGGACGACCGACAGCCTTCAACCAGTGAGCGAGCAGGGCCACGTTGTGAAGGGGAAACCTGGAGGGTGAAGTAGTAAATATACAGATAAAATCATATTAATTAATAATAAACAGCTGTGGTGGTCAAAGGATAGGATCTTATAGAATAAAGGTGGTTAAAATTACTATTACGGTAAAAGGATATTAGTACTGTGCAGTTTTACTCCACATTTTACTGTATAAATACAAGTTTTTACCATCAAAAGAAACAGTTTTGTATATGATGCTATGAAGGTGGTTTTCTGTGCAGTTTACAGTCTGTAATATAAAAAAAACTACTTTATTCTGTATAAATCCCTTTAAAATGTCATATAAATAAAAGGTTTTTCCATGATATATCACAGCGTTTTACTGTTACAGAAACTTATTTAGAGTTTTCTTTCTGTCGTTAGTGTAGTTCGTTATCTAACCGTAGTATCAGCTGTTAACGTGCTCGTACTTATGGAAGGTGAGTCCCAGGCCTCTCTCCACCGGCCCGCAGCAGTTGGTGCAGTTGGAGACGCTGCAGCGGAGCCACTTCCTCTTGGTTCTGCTGAGGCAGGTGACGCAGCTGGTGATCCAGCGGGCCAGGTCCCGGGTCATGCTGGCCCAGTAGTATTGCTTCGAAATCTCCCGCTGGCAGATTCCCTGGCCGAAGTGACCCTGTTTGTCATGGTATTTCTCCAGGATCGAGTTTACCTGGAACAGCGGCGTGGTTGGGAGAACGTTTGCCTTTATTTGATATAAATTCCTTTCTAACGTTTTTTTATGGCTTTCATTATCTCCGTGTTGTATGTACATATTGCGTATTCCTTAACTAATGTGCTCAGTCAAATTACCCCACTGGGTCTAGGAACAGACCCACAGAGAGACGGAGGATACACTAAAAAACTATTAAAATCATGATGATGTGACATTTTTTTGAGGGTCTGTACTAAGCAAAGATGTTTTTTTAAACCTTGAGAACAAGATCTGTAGACCAGGAAACTTCTTCATCACTACAGCACTTCATTATGACTGTTCTGCCACATATTTTAACTTTATTAAATGATTGCAGCTTCTGTGATTTGCACTCGGCAGATTAACTGATAACTGATTAACTGTGCAGCTCCAACCAGCGACCAACAAACCTTAAGGTGCCGTAGCTACAGGATTCATTTGATAACAATAACAACACACTGTAAGTAAATCATGCAAACCTCCTCTCTGCTGCGCGGCACTCTGAGAGGAGGAGAAACTCGCGTGTACATCAGCACTCCATCTGAAACACAAACGTTTATTAAGACCTTTAAATTGAACGTGATCCTGTAATCTGCTTCATTGAGGCTTGAAGGAGGCAGATAAAGTGAGTGATGCTGTTTCCATCACTTTCCACTCACCTATGAGACCGAAGCGCTTGGCCATCCTCTTCAAAGCGCCTCTGCTTTTCTTGCTTTGCATCGGTAAGATCCTGTGGCTCAGATACCTGCACAACATTTCAACACGCGCTCACTTAAACCAAAAATGATGTAACACGTGACGATGAAGCAGTCCGGTTGATCACATGTCTACCTGGCGATCTGGTTGTAAGCCGCGAAGCTCGGCTCGATGACGGTCTTCCTCCTCTTGCACTCCCTCACTGCCTGGACCACCTTGGAGTCTGGATCGGGAGCTGGGAGGCAGTACTGGTGCTCCTGCAGCTCCACGGGGGTTTCAGAGTGATCAAAGGCCGCTCCGGAGGGCTCGGTCGTCTCGGCAGCAGCAGCGGTAGAGAGGAGGTCTTCCAGGGTGTTGGAGTGAAGGAAGTCCTCGTCTGAAGGGACAGGAACCTGAAAACCGAAGAGGATTACCTGATCAGGTGACTCCAGGTTTGTCTAGTAAATGACGATCCCAGGGATACACTGGGAAAACAAAGCCTCTGTGTTCTGCTCTGTGTCACCTCCTCCTCCTGCGCCGTCACAGGGATGATGGTGGGAATGGCATCCGGCGATAGAGTCAGCTGACCCTCCTCGCTCAGCGTGAAACAGGGCGGCTCGAAGTGTCTTGAGCAGAGGCAGGAGTTTGTGCGCAGCGAGCCTTCGTCTCTTTGAGCCACCGCCAGCCACCTTCGCCGTCGCTCCGCCGCCTTCGGAAACCTGCAGGACGGAGGGTTTGTTTTGTCATTATTATGCAGATGATGCTCCGCTTTCATTGAAAAATATAAATGTTTGCATTCCGTGATTTCTGGTCATTTTTAAATTGACTTAAAAAACTGATTTGATTTGATTTGATTTACCATTCATCGCTAACTGTAGGTCCAAGGTTCCCAACTCCCTTTTCTATCATCGAGTAAACTGACTAAATGACCTATTTTAGGGATATTTAACACAATATTCAGAACTGTGCAATCGATTTACTCAGTAACTGCAGGAAGCTTGTGTAAAACAAGTGATTTGGATTCATTTTGAGCAGATTATTTTTATGTTTAGGGAACTTTTAAAACAATTCTTTGTCTGTATTATGTCATTTTTGAAATAATTTTTAACATTTTCTTCTCCCTGACACTCGGCCATTGTTCTATTAGACAATTTACTTTACTTAACATTTACTTTTCTTCACAGAAGTGAACCAAATGCTGACATACAGGCCTACTGTGTATGAGTTTTCTAGCACGCCTTAAAATCAAGAAGGCCTTGCGATGATGATTTCAAGGGGAATTCCCTTTGAAATCAATGAAACGAGGCTGTAGAAACACTACCACTTTTGTCCACAGGGGCCGCCAGCAGCAGCTCAGTGATGTCTGACCTGTGGAAGCTGAGCTCGGGGTTAACGTAGCTGGAGGCGTCGCAGCCGTAGGCCAGGCAGAACTGGACGGGCGGCTCGTGCGGTTCGACGGGACCGCGGCTCTGACAAACAGCACAAGCTTTGATCCAGGTCTTCACCGCCTCCGTCACGCCAACCCAGTAATACATCAACTGGAGGAGGAGTAAGAGGAGGAAGAGGAGGAAGAGAGCATACTCTCTGTCACAGCAGCTTTTCTAACGACGTACAACATCCTTTAATTTGTCTGTTGACCCCTCTGAACTCACCATTATCTCCTTCACCGCCCGGACCCGGCCGGCGTGGTTGTTGTTGTCATGGTAACGGGTCAGGATCTCCCTCATTTCCTCGTCGTTCCTGACGACGCGGAGGAGACGGCCTCGATAACTTCGCCACAGGCAGCCATCTGGAGGACGGAGAGAGGAACTGCAGTCAGTTACAGACAGACGGCTGTTGTTACTCTTCAGAACAGGATATTATATATAATATAATATTTTTATTATATATAAAACTGTTTTATCCAAATAAAAAACATCCATAGGTGATGTTTGAGGATTTCCAAAGGTGTAATTATCTTGATTTTTACCCAAATTTGACACAGTTTACTTGAAATGTTGGCCTAATGCAGGATTTTAATGTTATATATTACAGACCTGGATCACCATATCCATGAAATTCGACCATTTCAGTCACTAAACGGCTCATAAAAGTTGTCAGAAGAAGAACGGTGACAACACAAACTCACTACTCACTTGTAAAGTGGGTGCAAAGTAACAAGAAAACATGATTTAATCTGAACAATAAAGGTCTTATGATGCACTGCAGCGATACCACATTGTCGAGGCTTTAAAAGCTCTGAAATACCTTTATACAGAAAGTGCTTGCTGGCAGCTCTGGTCACTTTCTTTGAACTCTTTGATGCATCTACAGGAAACGTTCCCGCCCGCACAAAGAGCTCCACCTTGTCCATGAAGTCAAAAGAAGGCATCTGTGAGGGAGGAGGTGAAAGAGAGACACCTTTATTAATAATAATAATAATAATCAAGCTGTGAGGATTTGTCAATTTACTGATTAACAGTCTAAAAATGAGCTGGTAGCAATTCTGTTATTCAATTAATTGATTGATATCTATTCATTAAGAATGCTAAGTTTGTCTTTGTTGCAGCTATAATCAAATATTTCCTTACTTGCAACAAATAATCAACTCGTGTTTTGTTAAATATTAAATAATAATGTTAAATTTGTCCTTGTTGTTGCAAATAATTCAACATTTTCCCATTTTCTCTGTTTCATATTGAATATATCTAAACTTTAGACATTAATTTAGCCAAATTAAAACATCATTCTGAACATTTAGACATCTGATCATTATTGATGATCAATAATAAACAAATGCTTAATGGATTAATTATAAAAACTACAACTCGCTATATTAATTAATAAAGAAATAATGTTTCTAACTATCTGTAAAGGACACAGGCACACTTTGACTCTGATGTTATAAAAATATAAATATAATTTCCATACAACACATTTATGAGCTTAAAGCAGCTCCAGTTGTCTCATCTTACGTCCGGTAAACACAAATCCTCGTTACACCGTCGGCAACTTTTAACCCAAACTCAACTTTCCGCGGGTTGTTTTTCACCTCAACTCTTCTCACAGCGAGTTTAGTTGATCTTACTTCGTCTAAATGTGCACATATATCCTCCAAATTTACACATTTCAGGTCAAACTAGAGGCCAAATGCGACGTTTGGTGGTGTGCTCATTTAAGCTAGCTGCAGCAACCGTGTGCGTTCCGGTGTGGGGATTTTCAAAATAAAGGTTTACATTCAGCTTGTGACTTTTAGCTTGTTGAAATAAAGCCTTAAAATAAAATAAATAAATAACATGTTGTGGTTTTTTTTGTCAGTTTTGATACTAGATTTGTACGTATGTTACATTTTATAAATAATATATTAAATAAATCGCTATTTTGTTTTTAATTTTTAAAGTTTTTTCTTGATAACATCTTAATAATTTTGATATCTGAAAGGTTTTATTATTAATAGTAGTTATATAGGCTAATGTAAATATGAACCAAAATGTATTTAAGTTAATAAATAAATCATAACTTTTACTATGATTTTGAACTATTCACCTTTTCAACTAAGAAAAGTCGATATATAACAACAATATCCTGCTTCTCTTCTATCACACAGACAGCTCAGAATTAATGTAAATTAAGTTTATAGGATTAAATTTGGTAAAAAAGGTTAATTTACAACGTATTCCTTAATTTGTGTGCTTTTATTTTGGCCCCTAAATCCTGTCACCGGAAGTGTGATTGCTGTGACTTGACTGCAGCAGTGTGACGCAGGTTGCTGTAACCCGAGTTTACTGAGTGCTGTTCACTTCCGCTTCCGTTAACACCGCTGAGCGCCCCCTGCTGGCCCGGAGGAGAACACCGTGTTTACTCTGCACTACATTAGATTTCTGTTTTTAATGTGTTTTAAAGGTTTGTTTAATCCCTCTTTATGTTTTAAATTCTTCTGTTTGTGTAAAATAAATATTCTGGAGGAAGATTTTGATCTCAAAAGGTTGAATAAATGTTTTATAATCTGGCTTTAATGTGAATTTACACAATATTTCTGGTGTTTCCTTTTGATTTATTTGATTTTTTTAATACTATTTTATTTTAATATGTTGTTTTATTTAATTCCTGCACACACTGTTTTGTATTATGTTTATTATGTTTACGTCTCCGGAACAGATCTCTCTTTATACTGTAAATATTGTGCTGCTTTAACTCTGTTTAACTGTTTTTCTACATTAGTTGTTAGTTAAGAGTTGGATCTCGATTGAACTCTGGTTAAATAAAGTTAAAATAAAATAAAATAAACATCTGTATGGGGGTGAATCTAGCGAAATATTAACATTTATTTTATTTTAAAAATTATAAAAACATTGCAAACATTCACATATATCAATATTTGCCTGGAAAAGCCCCAAAATGAGAGAAATTTCTCCAAATACAAACATCCAAACACTGAATTTAACAGACCATAGACTAAAGGTGTTCATTACTGTTATTTTTTAAATGAACCTAAATTAATTTATTAAATCTGACACCAAACTGGTGTTCATGGTGGTGTGAATCAAAGACAAACTCTAAATCTGTGTCATTCTGTTTCTTTATCACAAACACATAAATCCAAAATATCAACCCAATACGCCTGCAGCCTTCGTTGTCAGACACCTTAACGGCGGTTCAGAACTCCATCAGGTGTGTGTACGGTCCGTTGGTGTCCAGCTTCAGCACCTGTCTGTTCCCGTACGTCCCGTGTTTCACCGTCACCGCGGCCGCCGTCAGTTCCCGCTCACACAGAGAGACGAAGGCGCCGTAGAGCCGCAGTCCGTCCTCTTTGCTGATGTTGTTGTGGTACTGCATGGCCCGGCCTTTGCACTTCCCGCCCAGCGTGGCCTGAGGGACGATCAGCAGGCTGCCGGGGAGCTCCGCCACCGACACCATCTTCCCCGAGTCGGACTCACACAGCCGCAGGTTGAGCAGCGAGGACACTGGAGGAGGAGGAGGAGGAGGGGAGACCATATTCATGTCTAATGTTGAAGGGGATCAAAAGGTTAACAAAAAGGTCACTCACCCATCTTAGGGAGGATGTCGTCTGTGGCTCCTTTAAAGAAGCAGATGTAAATCACCATTCCTCTTTCGATCTGAACACAGAGAGACACAGAGAGAGTTCAGACTGTGGACCAATCAGCAGCCGGTGTCTCCCTAAGTCCCGCCCCCTTCTGGCTCATTTTATGTTCCCTTTTCTTTATAATTATTAACTTTAATCACTTGAGTTCAGCAACAAAGACATGTAAACACGGGATCAGTAGATCAACCTGCGGGTCGAGACCCTCCACTAGGGGTCGCCAAACCTTCACAGGAGGTCGCTACGCCTTCTTGATTTATATATCTTCATTTTCTATTCTGATATATTCTGATAAATCCTGATATATTCTGATATATTCTGATATATTCTGATAAATCCTGATATATTCTGATATATTCTGATATATTCTGATATATTCTGATAAATCCTGATAAATCCTGATATATTCTGATATATTCTGATATATTCTGATATATTCTGATAAATCCTGATAAATCCTGATATATTCTGATATATTCTGATAAATCCTGATATATTCTGATATATTCTGATAAATCCTGACATATTCTGATATATTCTGATATATCCTGATAAATCCTGATATATTCTGATAAATCCTGATAAATTCTGATATATTCTGATATATTCTGATATATTCTGATAAATCCTGATAAATCCTGATATATTCTGATATATTCTGATATATTCTGATAAATCCTGATAAATTCTGATAAATCCTGATATATTCTGATATATTCTGATAAATCCTGATATATCCTGATATATTCTGATATATTCTGATAAATCCTGATCTGAAGTTATTGACATTGTCTCACAGGAAACAGCAGCGTCTTTATTAAAGTGAATCAGTGATGAATCGCCCTCACGCACTTCAACAGGAGCCGAAGATCTCCTCGTTCTCTAGAGTCGAAGATGCCGACACACAAACTTTTTATTTTATTCTTCCATCTTTAATGAATCATCTCACTTCCTCCTAATTTCATTACAAAAACGTCACATTTTGAAGAACAGTTCGCACTCTACTGTTGTTATATGAAGGATTGTTTTCAGTTTACTCAGAGTTACACAGAGGCACCTGGTCTCACCTGGTCTCACCTGGTCTCACCTGTCTCACCTGGTCTCACCTGGACAAACTGAGCCTCTGAGTCCTCCTCCGCCGGTCTCACCTGCAGCGTGGCCCGCAGACACTGCTGCAGCACCGTGCGGGCCACCGTAACAGCGCCTTTCTCCGACATCACAGCTCGGACTTTATCCTCTGGGCCGCTTTAAACTCTACGAACAGGACGGACCGACGGACCGACGGACCGACGGCCACCGGACAGACTCTGCCCCCGGGGACACCGACAGACTGACGTTAACGCGCTTCCGCATTAACGTCAACCGAAGCTGCGCGAAGGAGCTCAAAACTGCGCGTTGTTTGCGCAGTCTTCACCTTCTTTTTCTTTCTTTCTTTCTTTCTTTCTTTCTTTCTTTCTTTCTTTCTGGGGTGGATTTTATTTTTGTGAAGTTAAGGCAACACAAAAATAAAAACAGTTTTTTTTTTTTAATGAATTAATATTTATGTTTTATGTATTTTAAAGTGTAAATATAAAGAAAATGAAAACAAATGATGGATTTAAATGTCAGTTTACAGTTTATTTATTTATTTATTCTTCCTTTTAGTCATCTTATGAATTTGAAACTGAATTTATATTATTAATATTATTATTATTTATTATTTTAATATATATATAATTATATTCTGAGATATAAACTAATTAAAATAAATTACATTATTTTTCCTTCACATTTAAAATGTTACAGAAAAACAACATTAAACACACGCATGCGTACTCGGCGCATGCTTGACGCGCACCAAGCTAGCCGAACAGCTAACCATGGCTCAGCTCACATACAGCAGACTGTCGCATTTACTGAGAATATCCGTGAATAAACCGTCAGCTTTACGAACGGGGACGGAGATAAAACACGGGGCTGCGTGTTGTGTTCAGTCCAAACGCTGCCAGGTAAGATTTACTGCCTGTTTCTGTTAGCATAACACAGCTACAGCTAGCGGACCGCTAGCGTGTTAGCGTCAAGCTAGAGAGAAAGAGAGCGCGAAACCGGAAGTAGTCTAAATAAAAGCGGTAACGGTAAAACAAAAGTTTTAACTGAAGAAAATACAAAAAAGAAAACATAATTAAATGTGAACCCGTTGTGTTTTTATTGGATTATATGTTGTTAGATACACGTCTTATACATGTACTTTCACTTTGATGCGTATTCTTTAAAATAAGTTATATTATTTTGAACTCTACAACCGGAAGTGCTTCGTGTATTCGTGAGAGCTTGATTCATACGCACTGCTGCTCAAAGACTCACTAACCAGCAACTTGCTCTATAAATCTGTTCAATAGGGGGTCAATTAGTTATTATTAGCATGTTTTTGTTATTCCTAACATTTAAATAATCTAGTAGCAGCTCTAGAAGCAGTTATAATGTTTCTGTCTGCAGTGTCTGAATGATTACACAAACAATTTGTAGCACTTTCTAACAATTCACCCTTTATAAAGGGGTTATAAGTTGTAACCAATGGCTTAATTAATGCATAATAAATCATTTAATAATGCTTTAATGTTCAGTTAAAAGCCCATGTTGGTAATAATGAATAAATAAAGGAGTTTGTCACTTTTTAATAAGCTGTCAGTGGTTGGTTAATGGAGTTTGGTTGGAGGAGAAAAAAATACCAACCTGCCAGCCAAAGACAGATCTATAAATAACTAGTAAATGACTGAAATAACCCTTCCTTGCTACAGTTTTAGGCGGCTGTGATTGGCTGCCAACAAACCAGATCATCCGTCTGATTGGACAAAAACAACTCTGACCAAACTTAATGTTAAATGTAGTCGATTTAACGTTGCCCTTTCTCAACAACGCAGTGCTAGTACAAGATATGTGTGTATGTTTCCTGTTATGTTTGGGACGACGGGTAAATTCAGCATGAACGTGATCCATCAGGCAGCATTTGTTTTATTAAAATGAACAATGAACGTTTGGAGATCATATAGTGATAAAAGCCTTTTCTGTTCATTTCAAAATGTCTATTATGGGAACATTTTTAAGTTCTTGGTGACTTATTTCCACTAAACCCACCACAGCGTCTTTTAGTCTTTACTTCGCCTTTCTGAAACCTACAGAAAGCTTCATTTTCACAGCAGAGGAAAGGAGTCTTCCTCACCTTCAGGTTGCGTTCACTGAGCGTCTCTCTTGTGTTCCTGTGTCTCGCAGAGGTCGGTGGACAGCAAGGCGTTACAGGAGCGGCAGAAGCAGATAATGGCGAAAGGTCTTCCCAAGCAGAAGCCCATCGCAGGGGTCAAACAGGTCATCGTCGTGGCTTCGGGGAAAGGTGGCGTGGGAAAGTCCACCACCGCAGGTGCAGCACGAGGTTCCTCATGGAGCCTTCTTAGAGTATCGTTATTCTTACAGCAAACACATCCAGAGATTCAGGAGTCTGTAAGTTTCCAGTCCGTTTAATGTCTGTGTTTCTGTCTCTGCAGTGAATTTGGCTCTCGGATTAATGGCCAACGATTCGGTAAGGAGTCTCTATTACATTCACATCATTTATTTAAAACCAAACAATTGAATTCATTTTTAATTTTAATCCCCAATCAGGTCTTTTCTTTCAGGTAAATGTTTGATCAGACCGCAGCCTGTTCACCTGCTTACGGCCTCAGATAGTTTCTGAATACATTTATTTTATTATTTGTTTTGCAGGGAGAGTGCACAGTTAAAAGCAATTACATCAGAGTTAGCTAACTGCTAATTTGCATCTGTAGACAAAAAACTGACTACAGAACCTAAAACAGGACAATACATAAAAGTCCATCAGTGTGAGACAATAAAGACAATCAGTGAGATAATAATTACAGTAAGGCAAGAGCTTGAAGCTGAATAAAAGAGAGTTATAATCACATTTTCCTGTCTGTAGTGTTTGTAAGAGATCAGTTATTTCATCCACTTTGTTTGTCTCAGTCGAAGTCCGTCGGTCTGTTGGACGCTGACGTCTACGGTCCGTCTATTCCCAAACTCATGAACCTGAAGGGAAACCCGGAGCTCTCTGACAGTACGGCGCGTTGTTCATCTTTCTCTCTATATTGATCAGTGATTATTGGTTTTAAATGTTGTGTTTAACAGTTCTGGGTTGATATTTAGAGTTCAGCTGTTTTATCTTCCAGACAACCTGATGGTCCCACTCACCAACTACGGGATCCCTTGGTGAGTCCTTAAACATCTCTCCTATAAAAATGAACCTGTAGCTCCTGCTCTGACCCCTGACCTCTTCTTAACCCCCCCCCCGCCACCTTTCTCTCAGCATGTCGATGGGCTTCCTGGTGGAGGACGTCGCTCCCATCGTCTGGAGGGGGCTGATGGTGATGTCAGCGATAGAGAAACTGCTCAGACAGGTCAGACCGTCCCTCCACCTGAGGTCAGACAGCAACGTTCAACTGAATCTATACAGATCAACGTGTGTGTGTGTGTGTGTGTGTGTGTGTGTGTGTGTGTGTGTGTGTGTGTGTGTAGGTGGACTGGGGGTCGTTGGATTATCTGGTAGTCGATATGCCTCCTGGGACAGGAGACGTCCAACTGTCAATTACCCAGAACATCCCAATTGCAGGTCAGTCGCGCACACACACACACACACACACACACACACACACACACACACACACGCTCTCATTAATGATATTATTAATAATGATGTATATTAGTACAGGAAAGGAGACTGTGAACATAGAACCTTTCAAAATAAAGTTACAAAGTGCTTTACAGTAAAAAACAAATAATAAAAGTAAATAAAATAATAATTGAAACAAATACCATCAGTTAAGTAAGAGACGTGATAAAAGTGAGTTTTAATTTGAAGGAGTTTCTGTGTTTTGTTGCGCAGGCGCCGTCATTGTATCGACGCCGCAGGACATCGCCCTGCTGGACGCTCGCAGAGGAGCCGAGATGTTCAAGAAAGTCCACGTGCCGGTAATCGCAGCCACGGTTGTAAAAATCCCCGGCGAATGAAATCCGATGAAGGGCGAGAGAGAGAGGGTACAAACGTTTGGTGTCTCTGCAGGTTCTCGGCCTGGTGCAGAACATGAGCGTCTTCCAGTGTCCCAACTGTCGACACCAGACTCACATCTTCGGCTCCGACGGCGCCCGACAGCTCGCAGACACTCTGGGAGTCCGGTTGTTGGGTAGGTGTGAGGAGCAGGAAGTACATCAGCCGCTCCTTTAAAGGGAAGTGACAGACAGTTTGAGCGGAGCGAGGGAGTTGGGTACAGACTGTACTGTCGGAGCAGATCTCTTCATACACTGTCAGACCGGTAGAACCACAGCAGAGAGTATGTTTACTTATTAAAGTTATTTAAATCTGCATGTTAGAATGACACAGCAGCAAAAAGTCTTTAAATAAATCAGAGCTCAGTTATCCTGCTCAGACTGAGACTTTATTTTACACCAACATGGATGTTTCCCTGAGACTTCTGTTCATGTTTTTAATGTTTTTATTAGTTGTTTGTTTTTTAAACATATCTTTATTATTAATTATGCATCAAATCCTATTCAACTCAACTCAGCTTTATTTATAAAGCACCTTTCATACAAACATGCAGCCTTAAGCAAATAAAAACAAAATGAACAACCATGAATTAAACTGTGCAAAGCATCAAAAAAATTTAAAAATAGATAAAAATGTATGTTGATGTGAAAATAAACACCAGGGAGACAAATTATGTAAAAACCAAAGATTAAAACCTAAAGGCTCTAACATTCCTCCAAAGTAAAAGCCTGATTAAAAAGATTGAATTTCCTTTTAATAATACTGATATAGTAATATAATAATACAATAATACACTGATCAGATATCCAGAGGCAGTGAGATCACATGTTACATCAACACCCTCCCGTCCTCTTCCAGTCCCTCCAGAACTGTACACTGCTATACTTGTGAGGGCTCTCATTAATAAAATACAATAAAATAATACAACTTCAGCGTTTAACCACAATGCTTTGGTCTGTGAACTACCTTCCAAAATATATGAGACATTCTAGGTCCTATATAAGAAATGGAGACTGTGTCTGAAACTGTTGGAGTCTCCTGATTACAGTGTGAAGGTTGCGTAGTGTGAACAGAGAGTCTCTCTGACAGTCTCCTGTCTCACAGCCGGTTCACATTCTGCTTGAACTCGCTTGTTTTTGGATCATTTTGATGGATTTCTCCTTTCCTGTCATATTTGATCTTCCTCCAGGTGACGTTCCTCTTCATCTGAACATCAGAGAGACGTCAGACAGAGGACAGCCAGTGGTCGTCTCCTCTCCCGACAGCCCGGAGGTCACCACTCTACTTTATTCTACTTTATTCTTCTTTATTCTTCTTTATTCTACTTTATTCTACTTTATTCTACTTTATTCTTCTTTATTCTTCTTTATTCTACTTTACTCTACTTTATTCTTCTTTATTCTACTTTATTCTACTTTATTCTTTACTCTTCTTTGTTCTTCTTTATTCTACTTTATTCTTCTTTATTCTACTTTATTCTTCTTTATTCATCTTTATTCTACTTTATTCTACTTTATTCTACTTTATTCTTCTTTATTCTACTTTATTCTACTTTATTCTTCTTTATCCTACTTTATTCTACTTTATTCTACTTTATTCTTCTTTATTCTACTTTATTCTTCTTTATCCTTCTTTATTCTTCTTTATTCTACTTTATTCTTTACTCTCTTTATTCTTCTTTATTCTTCTTTATTCTACTTTATTCTACTTTATTCTTCTTTATCCTACTTTATTCTACTTTATTCTTCTTTATTCTACTTTATTCTACTTTATCCTTCTTTATTCTTCTTTATTCTACTTTATTCTTCTTTATCCTTCTTTATTCTACTTTATTCTACTTTATTCTTCTTTATTCTACTTTATCCTTCTTTATTCTACTTTATTCTACTTTATTCTTCTTTTTTCTACTTTATTCTACTTTATCCTTCTTTATTCTTCTTTATTCTACTTTATCCTTCTTTATTCTACTTTATTCTTCTTTTTTCTACTTTATTCTACTTTATCCTTCTTTATTCTTCTTTATTCTACTTTATTCTACTTTATCCTTCTTTATTCTACTTTTTGCTACTTTATTCTACTTTATTCTTTACTCTCCTTTATTCTTCTTTATCCTTCTTTATTCTACTTTATTCTTCTTTGTTCTGTATTCTTCTTTATCCTTCTTTATTCTTCTTTATCCTTCTTTATTCTACTTTATTCTTTACTCTCCTTTATTCTTCTTTATCCTTCTTTATTCTACTTTATTCTTCTTTGTTCTGTATTCTTCTTTATCCTTCTTTATTCTTCTTTATCCTTCTTTATTCTACTTTATTCTTTGTTCTTTACTCTTCTTTATCCTTCTTTATTCTTCTTTATCCTTCTTTATTCTACTTTATTCTTCTTTATTCTACTTTTACTCTTCTTTATCCTTCTTTATTCTTCTTTATCCTTCTTTATTCTACTTTATTCTTCTTTATTCTACTTTTACTCTTCTTTATCCTTCTTTATTCTTCTTCTGTTGCTGATAGCTGTGTTCCTCCCTCTTCCACACCTTTGTCTATATTTCTGCTCGCCTTAACGCCGCTCTGACGTGTATTTTCTACGAGCTTTGTGTTTTATTGTGTGTGTGTGTGTGTTTGCTCTGTAGGCGGAGGCGTACAGGAAGGTGGCGTCTGCTGTGGTCCAGAGATTACAGGAAGTCAACACCTGATTGGCGGCTCCAACAGGAAGTAAACTGGGAACGAACATAAACAAACAAACATGTAAACAAACAGAAATGCACAAACCTGCTGTCGTAACGCACAATGAGTTCAACCCGAAGCACTACGAGCTACAGTAACTGAGTGAACTGTATTAATGCGACAGTGTTACTGAATAATGTGATTATATTTAATTAAACTGTGATAAAGGCTGTTTATGATATTCTGAATATTACAGTGTTTGAATATTTAAAATAACTGCGTATTAGTAACTGGTTAATATTCCAATGCAGTATAAAGAAATGAATTGCTCAGATTGGATCTGTAATAAGATTTCTGGACAGACGTTGGGATTCAAGAATATCTCAAAAATGAATGTCGTCAACTTAATATCTAATTCTCTGTGTAATAATATATAGATGCCTTCACATTTTTAGCTATAAAATGGTTATTAAACTGAAGCTGAAACAGTCACAGCTCTATATAACTGTCACTGTATCATGTATGTCTTTCAGAGGCTGCAGCGAGCTCCGTTTTACAGCTGCAGTGAACATAATGTTCTCATGTGAAACTAACTAACCTAACCTAACGCATCCATCGGTACCAACCATGTCATGCCAGCATGTTGGGTTGGCAAAGGACAAAGTTGACCTCTGACCTCAAGATATCTGAATGAAAATGGGTTCTGTGGGAACTCCCGAGTCTCCACTTTATGCTACTAGAGTCCATAAACACTCCACTCTGCTCAAAGGACGGACAGATAATAAATGAATGTCACCCATTTGTTTGTGTTTATGGATCTGAATTACTGAAATTGAAATGGATTAAAATGATCATTGAATTGATTTATTCTGGATGTTTATTGGTTTATCTTCAAATAAACTTCAGTTGCTGTTTTATTGAAAACGAAAAGTCTCTTTTTTTGTCTTCCATGACACAAAAAATATAAATTATTGTGAATAAAAATAAATATTCACACAGAAATAACATTAATATAGACAGTGCTGGGCAGTAAGGCATCCCCAGTAACCAGTAGAGTAACTAATTACTAATACATCTCAGTAATAATTCAGTTACCCTCCCAAATATAACTAGTTACAACCTTACTGGAAATACTCCATTACTCTGATTTTAACAAACAAAACTGGATTTTAATGGTCGTAAATCTGAAGTTTGAACATCTAATTACTGTTGGTAGGTTAGTAATTAGTAAAGTAATAAAACTTGTGAACAATACAAAACAAATGTGTCAGAATAAATAATAAATCTCTGAAACAGCCGTTTAAAGGTTGTCAGCCTGTGTGTCATAATACATACTAATAAAACCTCAACTATCAGACCTGTCCTGCTCTTCCCTGTCAAAAAACAAACTCATCTGGAGCTCCTGGTGGCTCTAAACACTGGAGGCCTGAGTGTGTGTGTGTGTGTGTGTGTGTGTGTGTGTGTGTGTGTGTGTGTACTTAAACTGACACACTAAATCCAAATAAAGTCTCCAACCTCGCACAGATCATGTTAGCTTTAACCTCAGTCTGTTCTCCAAAGTGTAAATTTAAAGTCGCAGTGTAACAGCAAAAAGAGAGTCGTGATGTTTGATAATGTATTTCTGAGTGAAACTGGAGGTGTGGTTAATACCAGAGGGACAACGGTAGGTTGTGTCTCTCACCAGGGTTGGTAAACCTTTTTTTTATTACATCAATATAAAATAAAACTATAACTTTCACGTCAGATCTCCTGAGTTCATTCAGTCAATCAATCTGCAACTTTAGCAATTAAGTTACCGGTCGTTCAGTTAGCGACAGGGAAGGAAGAGGAGAAGGGAGGAGGACGATGAGAGGTTAAACAGATGAAGAGGAAGAGACAAGAAACTGACGTAGCATCATTTCATCAGTGCTGACCTTTGAGGGAAGTGAGAGTCCGAACAGGAGGAAGCTATCGTAGCGTACACATCCACTTTTATACAGTAGTGATAAAGTAATAAAGTACAAATACTTCTTTACTGTACTTAAGTACTCATTTTCAGCTATCTTTTTTCTTTTACACAAATATCTACACTTTCTACTTCTTACAGGTTTGTAACTTTAGTTTTGATGCATTTGAGGGGAATTATTAGGGCTCTAGCAGTAACACTGTGAGGCTTCATAATAATAAAGCAGCCCCGGCGGCACGTTTCACCCACATGTACGAACATTGGTAGGCACATGTATTATCTCCAGAAGAAACCCAACAGGAAAGTCGGCCTGTAGTTGGGTTTTTTCTTTCTTTCTTTGCACGTGTTGTATTTTAACGAACTCCTCTGAGGGAATTCATCAAACTGACTTCAGATTTGGTTAGTGGATTCTAAAGATCACGGTTATTGCTTATTATTATTACTAATTCCCCATCACTGTGGATATTGTCCTCATCATCATCATCATATCATCTAGTAACGTGAGGCCAACACTTGCTTTTGCTCTGGCAACATTACTCTGGCATTATGTGGAAGCACTGTCAGCCAGGGGGATGTAGCTGGGAATGACTCCCCAGTCTCTGACTCTTCCAGCTCATACTTACCTGACAGGGGAGATACCATAATGAAGAAGGTGGTCACCGGTCTGTAGTCGTTGGAGGTGCTGGGATGCGCCTTCTTCGGTACTGGTACCAGGCAGGATGTCTTCCACAGCACAGGGACCCTCTCCAGACTCAGGCTCAGGTTGGTAAAGCGCTCCAGGTGAGTCAGCAGCCAGGTTGTTACTGTTCACTTAAACCGAATTATATTATATAACATACACATTAAAAATATAATCCCACACAATAACTAATTACCTGTTAGAAAATGGAGTCAGTTTATCCAAATATCACAATATTAAAGTAGAATAACTGGATTCTGTTTACCTCAACACCAAATATGCAAATAACAATTGTAACCTTGGAAACAGAAATGGACACTAAAAATAAAATAATGTAATATAATGTAATATAATGTAATATAATATAATGTAATGTAATATAATATAATATAATCTAATATAATATAATATAATGTAATGTAATATAATATAATGTAATGTAATGTAATATAATATAATGTAATATAATATAATGTAATGTAATATAATATAATATAATATAATATAATATAATATAATCTAATATAATATAATGTAATATAATATAATATAATATAATATAATACTCATCATCATCATTATTAGTTCTTTCTGCTAGTATTGTTGTTGCTGTGCATCTTTGTTTCTGTCTCTCTTTCTCTCTTTACCAACTACAAACTCAGAAGAGTTAACAGGAAATACCAGCTGTTACCTTCAACACACACACACACACACACACACACACACACACACACACACACACACACACACACACACACACACCCTCACACACACACACACACACACACACACACACACACACACACACACACACACACACACACACAGAGAGAGATAAACACTGACTTCCTGTAAACGGAGAGGGGAGGAGCAACATGTGATCCAACAGGAAGGGAACCTGAAAGTGAAAGTGTTCAGATAGTTCAGAGTCAGACTCCATTTTGAGTCGACAGAGCAGGAGGAGGGAAACTGAAGGCTGAGGCAGAGTGAGTGTTAATACACCATTATTATTATTGTACTGCTTTATTATACTGTGTGTGTGTGTGTGTGTGTGTGTGTGTGTGTGTGTGTGAGTGTGAGTGTGTGAGTGTGAGTGTGAGTGTGTGTGTGAGTGTGAGTGTGTGAGTGTGTGTGTGAGTGTGAGTGTGTGTACGACTCGTGAACAATCTTGTTTCCTGGTTCTTGTCCTCTGAGCTCACAGTCTGTGTTACTGTTTAACTCTCAGACTGACTTCAGATCAGAAGATGAGTGTTTGTGTGGAGGAAGAGGAGGACAGAGCAGAGTCTGCAGCGTCCAGCTGTCTGTCTATGAAGAGTGACCGGTCCAAAGATTATCCTCCATTCTTCAGTAATGAACCTGGACCCTCAGACTCAAAGTAAGAGAACTGATACAAACTCATTTATATGACTCATTTTCAGTTCCCTCTGCTCATGCATGCTTTCTGTTGATTTTGTGTTTATATATTAAACTTTCTGCTAAAATGTATTTACTAACTAAACTGTTGTGACACACAAAGAGAAATCACTCGTCCATCTTCCTCTCAGTCTCTGTGACAGCTGTCAGTCACTAGGAAAGCTGTAATCTAATCTAAGAGCACTGATACAAACTTTGAAACCTCCTAATGATCCACAGTAGCAGCAGTTTGTGTATTTAGAGCTTCTTTAAGGACTTTGTCATCAAATCATTTATCAAGGATTCATGTGATGATGATGATGATGATGAAGACAAGACACAAGGAAACATACATTTACATAACGTTGCAAACACAGAGGACAACGGGCCTTTTTCACAGCAGCCATTTTGACATGAAACAGTAGGGTAAACACAGGTGTTACCAATGATACTCCTTCTGTTGCACTGAGCTCAGAGTCAGGGTGCTGCTATTGTGCATGTTGTCTCACTGGAAAGGCTCTGCTGCACTAAATGGAACTCAGCCTTAATCAGTATCATAGGTAACTCCTGAGTTTACCCTACTATTTCATGTCAAAATGGCTGCTGTGACAAACATCCATATTCAAGGCCCTTCAGCATGCGTCTGATCTGGGATTAAGCTCCATATTTAACTTTATGATCGACTGCTGCACAAAAGAGTGCTTCAGTCTAAACTTGTGAAATGGTGGAACCTCGTATCTCCAGTTTGATGGTAACAGCTTGTATTCACTGTTCAGGACGTGGTTGGGGTCAAAGGTTGTTGGACAGCCTTAATATATTATGGAAGGCTGATTCATTGAGTCTCTACAGAGGTTGTACGACAATCTGTGAGCAGATTCTCATTCGGTGGAGCAGTTTTGACTTTAAAGTAGTGGACAGACATTTGTACCATGTCGTATTACAATACTGCCAAACACTCATAATCACAGAAGGAAAAAACAGGAGAAGAATTTGTCTTCTCGGACCTAAAGATGTAATGTGGCAGAGGAAATAAAGTCTTTGTGTTGTCTGTTTGGATGTAAGTTCAGTGTGGTCTTTCCAGGATAACAGTCAGTGTGTCATTAAGTATTTGTATGAAAATAGCTGCTTGACTGTTTCTTTATGGATGACAACAGGAACTTTATGAGAGTCAGACGGTGAACCAAAAACAAGTTCTTCACTTTTCTTTGTGTTAATCTCAGGAGCATTGTTATCACTGCACTCGACCACTTTGTTCCCGTCATGTTGGTGCAGCCCAGAGTTGTCTGAGTTACTGAACACAGATATTAGAGCTGTATCATCAGAATACTTTAGATTGTATTGAGTTGGTGTATCTGTACAGAAATCATCAGTATAGAAAGTGAAAAACAGCTGAACTCAACAACAATATGAATGAAAACATGTTGGTGTTTGCAGAGTTCAGTCCAACAGACGGAGAGCAGAGTCTGCAGTGTCCAGCTGTCTGTCTATGAAGAGTGACTGGTCCAATGATCCTCCTCTAAACTTCAGTAATGAACCTGGACCCTCAGACTCAAAGTAAGAGAACTGATACAAACTCATTTATATGACTCATTTTCAGTTTCCCTCTGCTCATGCATTCTTTCTGTTGATTTTGTGTTTATATAATAAAATTTCTGCTAAAATGTATTTACTAACTAAACTGTTATGACACACAAAGAGAAATCATTCATCCATCTTCCTCTCAGTATCTGTGACAGCTGTGAGTCAACTGATACAAACTTTGAAACCTCCTAATTATCCACAGTAGCAGCAGTTTGTGTATTTAGAGCTTCTTTAAGGACTTTGTCATCAAATACTAAGATTGTTCTCAGCTACTAACAGTTAAGTGGACTATTAGGGGGCAGCCCTGATATTGAGCCAAGGTTGGCAGGTCTGAAACAGTGACGTACATAATGAGCTCTCTTTAATGGAGGACTTTTACTGTGAAGCAGCTGCAGGAAGTGTTGAGTTTGTATTAATAACTAACTACAGGCTGATCACTAAATGTTTAATGAGACAAACAGGAAAAGCAGTTCATTGGTGTTTGTGAAAGCAGGAGAGTTGAAATTAAAGGAACAATTGTTTCATTTCAGACTGAATGCTGAAGTCAAACTGAAAAGTAACGAGACTTTTACTGTTCTCTGTGACCATCTGAGCTTCTACACAGAGTCAGTGGACACATGTTGATATGTTTCAACTACAGTCAACAAATCATTGTACTTATAAAGAAATGTCTTCACAGAGAGAGGAAGAGGAGTTGCTGTGTTTTGTGTCGGGACGTCCTGAAGGATCCGGTCTCTACCAGCTCTGGACTCTGGTTCTGCAGACAGTGCATCACCTCATACTGGTACCAGTCTGCTTCATCAGGAGACGCCTCCTGTCCCCAGTCTGGAGAAAGACCCAGAACAAGACAGAGTAAGACTGTATACCTGTCTGCTGATGTGTTAATACATTAGTTGTGTCATACAGTACGGCCATTTAACACCTTTATACATTTAAATGTAGTTGCATGTTTTTTCTGCTCCAGCATACAATTCTTGTCCTTGTTCTCCTTTGAGGAAACATATTGACACATGTTGGTTTTATGATAGCGCCCCCTGTCTTTGCATTAAGCAGTCAGAATGCTGTTTGTTCTCTGTCTGCATAGATGGAGATGGAGAACTATTAAACTCTGTGTAAAGCAGTAACATCACTGTTCTATCACAGACAGACAGCAGCCTGAGACGCAACAACAACAGCTCACATTGGCGTTCCTGCTCGTGACTGCTTCTTCTCTAACTTACAAACAGTTTGCTTACTTTGTCTTTGTGCCACATTGTGTCAAACTGTGAACACGTGCATCTCCACTGCAGCCTCATAGCAGGAACAAACTAGCTGTTGTGGTTCTGATGGTAGCATCATGGTCAACAGGGGCCAACCTGAGATCCTCCTCCCTCAAACAAAAGCCAGGTCTGTCTCTAAAGTGTGTGTCTGTGCTGGAGACCAGAGACAAAGATCTGTTTCTAAAAGTCTCTCTGTGTTCAGCTTTCAGGACTTTTATTTAATATGTTTTATTCCATTCTTTGTAAACAATATAATATCACCATGATGATGTGAATTTGGTTTCGCCGTCCGGCCTTTCGTTGGAGTCCCTGTGAACGCAGCATCAGTCAGAGCTTTGTTACCTTACTGCTGATGCAAACTCAACACTTCCTGCTGCTGCTGCACATGAAAGTGAACCAATGGGAGGCTTTTATTGTGAAGCAGAAAATGGAGTGTATTTCTCACACAGATTCACTATTCAATAACGTTTGGTCAGTGGATCAGTTTAAACATTCCTGAGACGAAGGAACAGCCACAGTGAGCAGTTCAGATGAAGAGCTGATGAAGAGAGTCCACCGACACACAGCCAGAGGCTGAGAGACAAAGGAGCATTTCTGATGTTTACCCAAAACTGGACTTTATAACCTTTAATTCTGGAAATATTCTGATATTGTTATTTTATTGGCAATGAAAATAATCAGAAGAGTCACATTTTCTTTGTCTCCCATTTCTTCTTTTCTTCCAGCAGATGGTGGTCTGCAGGAGGTTTTAGATGAACATAAGATCAGTCTGAGGAGGAGATGTGAACGTGTGACTGAAGGAACTGATGAACCAGGAAGTGGAACCCTCCTCAACAGGATCTACACTGAGCTCTACATCACAGAGGGACAGAGTGAAGAGGTTAATACCCAACATGAGGTGAGACAGCTTGAGACAGCTTCCAAGAAGAAGATCCTCCATGACGCTCCAATCAGGTGCCACGACATCTTTAAAGCCTTACCTGACCAACAGAGACACATCAGAGTGGTTCTGACGAACGGCGTCGCTGGCGTTGGAAAAACCTTCTCAGTGCAGAAGTTCACTCTGGACTGGGCAGAGGGCTCGAACAACCAAGATGTCAGTCTGGTGGTTCTGCTTTCGTTCAGGGAGCTGAACCTGATAAAAGATGAGCAGTACAGTCTTCTCAGGCTGCTCCATGTTTTCCATCCAACATTACAGAAGGTCACAGCAGAGCAGCTCGCTGTCTGTAAACTTTTGTTCATCTTTGACGGCCTGGATGAAAGCAGACTTTCACTGGATTTCCACAACAATGAGGTTGTGTCTGACGTCACACAGAAGTCTTCAGTCAACGTGCTGTTGACAAACCTCATCAGGGGGAATCTGCTTCCCTTGGCTCTCATCTGGATAACTTCCAGACCTGCAGCAGCCAATCAGATCCCTCCTGAATGTGTTGACAGGGTAACAGAAGTACGAGGCTTCACTGACGCCCAGAAGGAGGAGTACTTCAGGAGGAGAGTCAGTGATGAAGATCTGTCCAACAGGATCATCTCACACATCAAGACCTCCAGGAGCCTCCACATCATGTGTCTAATCCCAGTCTTCTGCTGGATCACTGCTACAGTTCTGGTCCACATGTTGACTACAGACCAGAGAGGAGACCTGCCCAAGACCCTGACTGACATGTACTCACACTTCCTGCTGGTTCAGACAAAGAGGAAGAAGCAGAAGTATGATGAGGGACATGAGACGAGTCCACAGGAGCTGATGGAGGCTGAAAGGAAGGTTCTTCTGAAGCTGGGGAGGCTGGCGTTTGAACAGCTGGAGAAAGGAAACATCATGTTCTACCAAGAAGACCTGGAGCAGTGTGGTCTTGATGTCACAGAGGCCTCGGTGTACTCAGGAGTTTGTACAGAGATCTTCAAAAGAGAGAGTGTGATCTTCCAGAAAACTGTCTACTGCTTCGTTCATCTGAGCATTCAGGAGTTTCTGGCTGCAGTCTACATGTTCCACTGTCACACCAACAGCAACACAGAGGTACTGAAGGGTTTTCTGGGGGGGAAATATGATAATCCAACTTTGGACGTCTTCCTGAAGGAAGCAATGATGAAATCCCTGAATAGTGAAAATGGCCACCTGGACCTGTTTGTTCGCTTCCTTCATGGCCTCTCTCTGGAGTCCAACCAGAGACTCTTAGGAGGCCTGCTGGGTCAGACAGACAACAGACCAGAAACCATCCAGAGAGCCATCAACAACCTGAAGAAGATGAACAGTTATAATATCTCTCCTGACAGAAGCATCAACATCTTCCACTGTCTGACGGAGATGAACGACCACTCAGTCCATCAGGAGATCCAAGAGTTCCTGAAGTCAGAGAACAGATCAGAGAAGGAACTCTCTGACATCCACTGCTCAGCTCTGGCCTACATGCTGCAGATGTCAGAGGAGGTTCTGGATGAGTTGAACCTGCAGAAGTACAACACATCAGGGGAGGGACGACGGAGACTGATTCCAGCTGTGAGGAACTGCAGAAAGGCTGTGTAAGTCCAGATGTGATTAACATTATAAAGCAATGCTGAAGTCATCACTATTAGAGTCAATATACACATGTTACACACACACACACACACACACACACACAATATAAAACTTCCACACTATAAAAGTTTTCCTAAACTAGTATTAAACCTGCTTATTGAATACATTAGACATGTGTTACACTACAAATGTCTCAAATGCACCGAGAATAAGACAGAAATCATTTTTGTGTTTATAGCTATCAGGTCAGTGAACATCTTCTAGTATCTTCTATCGTCTTCTGTCTTTCTTTGGGTGACGGAGGTTCGATACAAATCCAGCAGACAAACTTGAGGACTCAAGAGTTTGTGCTGGAAATGTCCTTTTTTACAGTGTATATGTAACGGATGTGGGTAGGGCATGGAAGGGAAACGGCTCAATTACTTGTTTTTCAGCATTTATTCGCTCCTGCAGAAGACAGTAATGCACATTCATTTCCTTCTAGTCTTTCTCTGCACCTCTGTTCACGGCGGCACTGTGCAGATTTCATTCTTTTTTTTTTTTCTCAAATTACATACAAATACATTCATTTAACATTACAGCATATACTCAATGTGCACATTACTAGCCAAAAGCTTTTCAAATTGACAGGAAAACATAACCTTAAACAAGTCTCCTCAAAACCATGAGACACAATATATAAAAAGGGAAAACAGTGACCCCTGGTGGGCACATTAAAACAGTGTGTGAATGCGAATGGCTAAACAGAGACAACAAAATTATCACATTTAGCAAAGAAAAGCACATACCTGCAGAAGACAGTAGTCTTTTTTCTGCACCTCTGTTCCTAAACAGGCAAAATAACAGAGTTTACACTAAGAAATGCATGCTACGGTCTCTGAAGTGCTACTTTGTCTACAAGACACGGGGCGGTCTGCCGCGTTACAAACGGCGCCCAAAACGTAAGTTGAAAACGTCTATAAAACTTATATTAACGGTCAAAACAGCACAAAACAGCTGAGTAACAGCATTAACAGTAACCATGATGCATTAAAGTTTACGATATAAACAGTTCAATTTTCAAAGAAAACCATAAAATAGCGCAGCAGCATTTCTCCACACAACTGACCCTCAGCGTGCACGGTGGCACTGTGAGGGTCAGTCGGAGCTACGGAAGCTTAGGAGGTACAGAAAAGGTGACGTAAGGCAAAGTAACTTCCGCAGGAAATATTAATAATAATAATAACAATAGCGGTAAATTAAAATAACTCATTAAGATAAAATTCACACATACTCAACAATCATTAAATGATAAATAAAACTGACAAATACAAATTGGAAATAAGAATTGATAGAGTGCATTTTTAACTCTGTTACATCTACAGTGTGTGCAATGTGTTTCTGTTATCATTTATTATTATCTTCATGATTTGTGTGGCCGTGGGGTTTCCCCCAATAAAATCTGATGTTATTTAACTAAAACTGCATTTTAATAAATAACAATAACAATAATGCATTTTATTTATAGAGAGCTTTTCTAGGAACTCAAAGACATTTCACATAAGTTAGATAATAAAAGTAATAAAACAACACCCTAAAAACTATATATAGATATATATCTACAACAACATTAAAGGGCCTAATTAAAGGCCTTGGGACAGGGGAGCAGTGGAGGAGGTGCAGTTGTTGGTATTGATGAACTGTTGTCTATTTGTGAGATATGACCTTAGCCAGGAGAGGCCAGTACCGGTGATGTTGAGGGAGGACTGAAGGCGGGAGAGAAGAATGGTGGTTGATGATGACATATGCAGGTTACATTTGTGGATGAAGCTACCATGGCATATGGACAAACACATGTACCTATATTATGAGGTTCATTAGACATGTGAGCTGTTGATACTCATGATATGATGTTACTATGGTCCATGTTTCCAGCTCCTTGTATGTGATTTGGAGGCTGTCACATTGATTGTTTGTCATTAATGGCTTCCTACTGCTCGTGGGGAATGAGCATGATATGAATATGCATATTTTAAAAATTCAAACCAGATTGTTGTTCAACATGTCCCCAGGTACCACTGAGCTAAACAGTGGCCAGTATGTGGGACCAGTCCACTTTTTCATAAAGATCCTGATCTCATCATCACGACATCTTTCCTTGTAATTACGAGATAGTAACTGATAATTATGACATGTCTAAATGTTTTTTTGTGAAGGCAAAGTTCAATTCAATTCAGTTTTATTTGTATAGCGCCAATTCATAACAGAAGTTATCTCAGGACACTTTTCAAATAGAGCAGGTCTAGACCGAACCCTTTATAACAGGGGTGCCCAAATTCTTCTCAGTTGAGGGCCAAAAATGGCTCGGGGTGGAGGGTCACGGGCCAAAATTAGACATTCATATTGCAGTGCATTAAATTAAATATGCCTATGATATAACTGTGCATAAACAGTCATACAAAGTAATTTGGAAAATCAACACTGCTGTTTATTGAAAGCAGAAAAATAATAATACAGGCCTGTGCCTTCAACAACATGCCTCTATGAGACCAAAATGTTATACTCTCCACTGCCTTGAACAATCATTTTTAAAGTAATAGAAATATAATTGTACAAATAAATACAATGGTATTTTAACACCGAGCCACCAAACTCGCGGACTTTGTCTGACACAAGTGCAGTGAGACCTGCTCTCTTACCGACCATAGCCGGGGCTCCGTCTGTCGTGATACCTGATAGGTTTTCCCACTTCAAGCTGTTCCTATCCATAACTCGCTGCACTGCCATAAAAACATCTGTGCCTTTTTGTTGTCCCTTTCAGTGTTTCAAGGCCCGCGAGTTCCTGACACACTTCAAAGTCCTCATTCACTCCTCGCAGAAAGACTAACAGCTGAGCTGAGTCCGATATATCGCTGCTTTCGTCACATGCGATGGAGAAGGCAGAAAATCGACCTGCTCTCTGGACAATTGATATCCTCAACACGGCGGGTGACCGTGTTCCGTGACAAACTAATGTGGGAAAAGCCCGCGTCTGATTTGGGCACACGGTGTCAGCAGCAACTGTCAGACATTGTTTTATAAAATCACCCACCGCGAAAGGTCGTCCGCTTCGGACAACGAGGGAGCAAATATGATAACTTGCCCGAGTGGCATTTTCCTGTTCAGTTGAGGGCTGGAGAAGGGTGCGTTGTTGGGAAGTTAGCTTTGCTATCAGGTCTCCAGCCTTCACCTTTCTCTCCTCTCCGGTGTATTTTGAGAACTGATGGGAATGCCGCGTTTCGTGATGGCGACGAATATTGTATTCTTTTAAAACACCGACTCTCTGCTTACAAATCAAACAAACTGCCACGGAATCAATCTCTGTGAAAAAGTACTCATGTTCCCAAGTGTTTTTAAACTTTCTCTTATCACAGTGCCACTGCCTCCCGCGCTCCATCACAGCATCTTCTCACTCTTTTTGTTGGTTGCTAAGCGACGCCGTTAGAAGACGAAGAAGATCTTCTCCCTGCGGTCACGGCCGGTCGGATTTGAGCTGACGGGAGCTCAACAGCGCCGCCCTAACCCCAATGTAATACAATGTTAATTTGTGGTCAGGAGAAGAAGTGCAACAATAAATAAATAATAAAAGAGATATTCCGACTGCTGGCACATAATAATAGTTCAAAGTATTAACAATTCGAGCATGGGCAGCGCCCAAAAATAATCGGGGCCCCAAATTGGGCAGCCCTGCTTTATAACATTATTTACAGAGACCCAACAGTACCACCATGAGCAAGACCTTGGCGACAAGGGCAAGGACAAACTGCCTGTTAAAAGGCAGAAACCTAGGACAGATCCTCCGGCTCTAGGTGGGTGGTCGTCTGTCTCGACCAGTTGGGGTGAGAGAGAGAGAGAGAGAGAGAGAGAGAGAGAGAGAGAGAGAGAGAGAGAGAGGGAGGGAGAGAGAGAGAGAGAGAGAGAGAGAGAGAGAGAGAGGGAGAGAGAGAGAGAGAGGGAGAGAGAGAGAGAGTGAGAGAGGGAGAGAGAGAGAGAGAGAGGAGAGAGAGAGAGAGAGGGAGAGAGAGAGATTGAGAGAGAGAGACAGAGAGAGAGGCAGAGAGAGAGAGAGAGAGGGAGGGAGAGAGAGTGCTTCTGTAGCTGTTTACATTCCCCCAGACCCACATTTAAAAAATGCACTGCAGAACTACTTTACTGGCTTTATAGTTATATATGTTAATAACTGTATGTATTGTTTATTTTATTCTAATATAAATGTAATATGTGTATGTTCTATGTGTGTGTGACATGAAGGGGCTACAACTTACATTTAAACATGCTGTGTTAAATATGAATGTTGAATGATTTCTGTGTGTCTTTATTTGCTTTGTGATCTAAATGCAATCAGATTTTATTTTAAAGGTTATATTCTCTGTATTCACAGACTTTCTAACTGTAGACTCTCAGAGACTCACTGTGAAGTCGTGGCCTCAGCTCTGAAGTCCAACCCCTCCCATCTGAGAGAGCTGGACCTGAGTAACAACAACAACCTGCAGGATTCAGGAGTGAAGCTGTTGTCTGCTGGACTGGAGAGTCCACACTGTAGACTGGAGACTCTGAGGTCAGTTCATGTGTTTGCTCTGTGTATATCTACCAAATATAACAGAAGTTTGAAATCTCCTTCAGTTGTTTTGCTTTCTGGGTTTGTCTGAGCACAAATCACAACAGCTCTTGTTTAAAGTCTGTCCGTCTGAATGATTTGGCTCCAGATTTCGTCTGTACTCAAACTGGATTGGTGTTAGTCAGAAAACTGTAGGATTTATTCTACAATGTGCTGCAGAATGAAATGAGTATTTAGTGAAACACTCGGGGCTGAGGACACGTTCACTGTGTGTAGTACGTTCAGTGAGTGAGGATCCATCTGAGTGAGTCAGTGAATCACTGCACGTTGGCTCTCAGCTGACTGAGAACGGATTGTTTGAGGAAGTGATTCAGTACAGTTCGTTCACCCAAAACATTTGTTCATTCAGACGAAACGTATGAATGTAATGTGATCTCTGATTCAACACACTGCCAGTTCTCAAACTCTGGAGACAAAGTTTTATAACACTGGAAATATTAACGCTGCTGACATTGTTAGTGTAAAACTAATATTTCAGACAAGAAATTGTTGTTTTCAGAAGTTTAAATTCTAATTGAAATATTTAAAGTTAAACCATAGTTAATACTATTAAAGCTTTATTTCACACTGAGGATTCAACCACATAGATTTGATGCTGATTCACAATGAGCATCTTGCTGAGCTTCATATTTAAAACATATTTAATATCACATTAATCATTCAACAGTGGTTGATTCTCTCTTAAAGGTTTCATTTTCACCTTTCCCTCATTTGAATGAAACAGAAACGTGTTTTATTCTCCATCAGTGAATGAAAATAAATAGTTCAAACTGAACCCCAAATCCCACAAAGCGGTTTCTGGAAGAACCTCCACACTGGACCTATTGTAACTGTGCTTGTTATTGTTTCCATTCAAAGTGACACAACATGTACATTTAATAACAGACAACAGATGTATATTGAAATCAATACAAATAAAATCATAATGAAAGTAAATAAAAAGAAACTAGATCATACGACAGATTGTCCCCATCTACTTCTACCCCCATGATCTGTGTACATACCGAGTGTTTAAGACACATTAAAGGCACATTTACACAATAACACTAAATATGAAAAATACAAGACAAACAAAAGAAAATAATTAAAATAATACAAACAAAAACAACAAATTAAAGAATTATAAAATGAACATGAATACAATGAAGGTTGCAATAAAACTATTGAGGAGACAGTATTTAGTATTAACTCCTCCCTCCCCGAACAGATACAGCTGATCCACTGAGACTTTATGTGTTTGACTCCAGATATGTCCAGATAGACACTAATCTAAAGCTTTTTATAAACTTGTACATTGTAAACCTTCTTCAGCTCTGAACAGATTATTAAACACTGAATGATTTCAAGCAGGAACATTGTCTTCTAAACTCTCATCTTTTATTCTTTATTCAGATTGAGGCGCTGCAGTTTGTCAGAGATCAGCTGTTCTTCTCTGGTCTCAGCTCTGAAGTCCAACCCCTCCCATCTGAGAGAGCTGGACCTGAGTGACAACGACAACCTGAAGGATTCAGGAG